TGGTTGCTGAAGTCATTGTGTGGCTGTTGTAGCTGCTTGAGCCAAAGTAAAATCTGAAGATAATGGTAGACTATAATTAAGTGTAAGTCATTAATTAATAAATATGTAAATGAAATATACTTATTAATTATAATTCGACTAGGAAAGCTCAATGACTAAATCACACCCGTTCTCCCCTGTGGTTTTGTTATTCCAAACTTCAAAAATCAAAGCCTCCTTGGACCTTTATTAATCTTAGCTTTTATTTTCCTTACTTCAGTGGGAAATAGGCAGGAAGCCCAGAGCCCCCATTGCAGTCCCCTGAAGCTGCAGATCATCAAGGAGGCAGGAGCCCTCCGCAGGGAACAGTCCAGCTGAGCCCTTTTTCTTTATGAGAGATGCCCAGGGTGCCAATAAATAACCACAGAGCTTTGTTCACTGACTCCGAATTATACAGACAGCAGGTGACACAGCTGGATGGCCTGTGACCAGATCCTGCCTCTGTGCCTTCTAGCTGTGTGGCCTTGGGCAACTCATTTAATGTTACTCTGAACCAATTGTGTCCTCAGGAAGATGAGAGGGTTAAATGAACGAAAGTACATAAAACACTTATAGTAGAGCAGAAGCTGTTAATAAAAGCTAGCTAATAGTACCTGAATTTCACAGCGAGATTCCCAATTTTTGTTTCTAAAATAAGCTCACGTGGGACATCAATTACAATGCCATTTGTTGAATATTGGCTATGTGGCTAGTGCTGATCTAGGTGTTTTCTCATGGAACCCTCAGAGCAACCCAGGGAGTTGGGTGTTATTGTGCTCCGACTATTCTGAGAAAAATAGAGAGTTGGAAGGTTAAAGCAACTTAAAGACTGAGGTCACCCTGCTAACAAATGGTAAAATCAGGAGTCAGATTCTGTTCTCTCAGACTCTAAAACCCACATCTTGAAATGTCCTTGTTTTTTCAGTCATTAAGTATTTATTGCACACTAACCAGGGAACATAGAACTATACATTTATTACAATTACCATTCAGGTTTTAAACTTAAGAATGGAAGGGTCGTGCATTAGAAGCCAGCCACCTCCTCTGTCCCATACAGCACAGAGCTGGGGTGAAACGTCAAGAGTGCTGGCTAAGAGACCTGTTTCTGTGCTTGCCATCAGCTTCTCCTCAGACTGTCTCTTCTTTTCTTCAAAGACCTATGTTTCTTTGGAAAATGCCCCCCAGGTCTACATGGGAGGTTGATGAGCTTGTATTTGGCCCCCCCACTGCATGCTAACTGCTTGATCATATTTATATGCATACCTTCAGTAAACTTTTATCAAATGCTAACTATGTGTCAGGTCTCTGCCCAGTTCTGAGGGCATATGGCCACGTGGACAAAGGCAGAATAAGCTATGGTGCGTTATGTTTGTGGGAAGAGAAGGTTGGAGCTAATTTTGCAAGGAAAATAGCATCCGATTAAATAAGAAAAGCAGAGAACGGCATTCTAGGCCCGTGGAACCAAAATGTGAAAGTGTACCCTGTATGTAAAAATGGGGAGTTTTCTATACATGAGTAGAGTATGTGGTGTCAAACTGGAGAGAGATAGATGAGAGGCAGAGGTAGATGAGATCAGATCGTGGAGACTATGGATTTATAGTAGCATATGGACTTTGTCTTGTAGACTAGAAGGGCAGGAGGGCACCAACGGCTTTTCAGCAGTGATGTGCCTCTGACAAGATGTGCATTTTGGAAGAATAAATGCAGCACTGTAGAGGAAGAGTCGGAGGGCAGAGATGGAAGGGCCTCAACTGACACAGTGGGAGTAGAAAAACAGGAGATACATGCATGGGACAGCAACAAGACTGGGACCCCAGGCAGGGGCGCCCTGGATGAAGAGATGAGTGGTGGCTTGTGAGAACTTGGCTAGACTTAGCAGTTGGTCCTGCGGGATGGTTGAGACACCGAGGGACATTCAATGAGAATGTTAAGCAGGCCACTGAGGACCGAGATGCTCAGTTCAAATTGAATGTCAGATAAACAAGGAATCCGTTTTTAATGTAAGTAGGCTGCATGCAATCTAGGACAAGGAAGCATTTTTCTTTTTCTTTTTCTTTTTTTTTTTTTTTGAGTTGGAGTCTCACTCTGTTGCCCAGACTGGAGTGCAGTGGCCGCTCCCGGCCACCGCAGCCTCGACATGCTGGGCTCCGGCGATCCTTCCACCTCAGCCTTCCGAGTAGCCGGAATTACAGGCATGTGCTACCATGCCCAGCTGATTTTTTGATTTATTGTAGAGATGAGGTCTCGCTGCCCAGGCGGGTCTCGAACCCGCGAGCTCAGGCAATCCACTCACCTCAGCCTCCCAAAGGTGCGGGATTACAGGCTGAGCCACCGAGCCCGGCAGGAAGCATTTTTCTAGTGTAAGTATATCCCAGATATTGCATGGGATATGCAGATACTAACACATAATCAGTTGTTTATCTGACACTAAAATAACACTGGCTGTCTTGTATCTGATCTAGTGATCCTACTTGAGAGGCGCCTAGGTCAAGTGTTCTGGATCACCATCCTGTGTCGCTGTGCCCTGGACATGGGGCTTTTTTTTTTTTTTTACTAAAAAAAGTAAAAAATGGGGACTTTTTGGGAAAACTGAGATGAGTTGATCACTCTAGGCTGAACAGATGTTGGTCAAATTGAACTTAGATAATCTTCCAACCCTTCCCCAACCTCTTAGGGACCTTCAGTTGGAGCTGGTGCTGTGTATACCTTGGTGAATTGAGGGGGTCCATACACTGTCTGCAGTTCACCATCTCCATGACACCATCTGTCGCCTTGACTGTGCCAAAGAAGAATTCCAACCCTTGTCAAAATTTTCCTTTAGTTTGCATCTTTTTTTCTCTTGAAGAACATTTGCTGCTGATTTAGCCCTGTTTTACAATTCTGCCCAGTTGAAATGTCCTGTTTTAATCTCTGTGTGACTCTTGTTCAGTCGTTTCCTTTCTTCTCAGTTCGGTATAATCTACCTCCCGCAGTTTGCTTATCAGACCGACATACCCCACAGGCCTGGACTTTGTTCTGACATCTCTTTATATTTAATCCCAATGCTGTTTCTCTGCCAAGCAGATGTGTATTAAAATGTGCATAAGAAAAGCAGCAAGCTGGGTTTATTTAGAAATTTCCTCAATTTGCACAAACTCCATTGGTATAAAAGATTTTTTTCTTATAAAAACCCACAACAAACATATGTTAATAGCTACTCAGATAGATCAAGACAAATTCATATTTGGCCATTTCTGCCATCACCATTCAGGCCCTTTTGCCAGAGACACAAAAACAATGATTCATATTGTTTCAATGTCAATGTCAAAGTATTCATAGATGCAAAAACATCTGCGACACATTGGAGCTTTTTGCTTGCTTGTAGGATCTCAGCTCATGAGAAATGAGTGACTTGAACAGCCTGTTAAAGAGTTTAGTCCAACTTGAAAGAGTTTTTTTTTCTTGTAAGGTATTATATCATTTACAAGGTATTAGAAATGACAATTTTCACTCAATTCTTTGGGTCTCACGTGTGTTTTAAGAACCACTTATTTTCAATATGGTAAAGGCATCTATGAAACAAACTGCCACTCACCAAGCTAAAGATAAGACCACTGGGTTTAAATGTACAAAGAGAGTGGAAGAGTGAATATCGAGATATATAAAAAAGATATTCTGAGCCCTGTTTTCTGGACTGCCTATTTTAGATCTCTTAACACATGAACATACTTTTTCTGACACAGACATTGACTCCAGGGCCATTTGATCTGGAAGTATGAAAAAAAAATAGGTCTAAGGCCACCGTTTTTGTTGGGTACTGACCAGGTCCTGTGGATCATAGCTCTGTGAGCTATGGCTGCCATGTTTTCCTAAGCTTTGGCCTCCTCCCCTACCTTGGGGTGGTGAATCTCCTATCCCTCACCCTCTAATTTACTTTCTAAATAAACTATTTGCCATCTAAAAAAATAGGTCTATTACAGGAAGAACATGGTGGGAAGGGGTTCCCATGTATCAGACAGTCTAGTCCAAGAAGGAGGGAAACAACTGGTCAGACCATGGTCAAATTTAAAGCCAAGAAAACACAGTAACAGCAGGAGTCAGGTGAGAGTAAGTGGCACAGAAAAGCCACCTGCAATCCACAATCAAATGATGTTTGTTCTGGATCTTGTTAACAACTTTTGGTTGAGTGTGGATGGCCAGGAAGAACTGAGGTCTGCAGGCAAATCCTTCCCGAGGTCCAGCCAGTAGCGGGAGTTCTGGACCTGTTGGCAGAGCCTGAAGCTACAACAACCATTCCCCGAATGAGAAGCATTACATGCCACTTCTAGATTTTATTATTTCAGCCTTGAAGCAGATTAGGTATGTGAGTCCTATGGAGCAGATGTAACTTACAAGGATGGGGTTGGGCGACACTTGTCCAACAAGTAGAAAACCCGAGTTTCAATCCTGTAGAAAGCCACTTCCTCATTAACTGAGGAAATCAGCCTTTCCTTGCAACAAGTATTATAAATTTCTAAATGTTTTGGTGTTGCTGAGTTGCTGTCCCCAAGCCATCTGATATTTCTTTTTTTCTTTTTTTTTTTTTTTGAGTTGGAGTCTCACTCTGTCACCCAGACTGGAGTGCAGTGGCCGCTCCTGGTCACCGCAGCCTCGACCTGCTGGGCTCTGGCGATCCTTCCGCCTCAGCCTTCCAAGTAGCTGGAACTATGGGCGTGCGCTACCACGCCCGGCTAATTTTTGATTTATTGTAGAGATAAGGTCTCATCAACTTGCCCAGGAAGGTCTCGAACCTGCGGGCTCAGGCAATCCACGCATCTCAGCCTCCCAAAGTGCGGGATTACAGGCTGAGCCACCGAGCCCGGCTTGATATTTTTAAACTAGCTCTTTTGTTATAAATGTATAGGTATAGAATATCCATTATTTATTACACTTGGATTTGTGGATAGTGTAGTTTATGTCTGAAATGCAGTGAATTCATTTATGAGATTTAAACCAGGGAACAAAGTTTTTGCTTAAATTTTTATTCACCATGGCACAAGATAGAACTTTAAGAAACACCACTGGAAATTTTATCACCAACATGAAAATTAAGAGTAGCATGTTTCATAAAAAACAATTCTTTTTCTATAATACACTTTCCCTTCTGAAGTGAAAAAAATCTCATAAAATACTGAAGCAAATAGCCCCCTGCTGGTCAAAGATGACTTTGCAGCTGAAAAACTTCAAACTTTAGTAGTACCGCTCAAGTACTGCAGGAACACTTTACAATACACAGATAATTACCAAAGAAACATTTTCTCAGCCTTTGGCACAATATAAGTACAAACCTGTAGTCTTTTCCCTCCAAATATGATTTAATTTGTAAAGAGTTGCATGTAATTTGGTCAATACTGTTTATGGGACAAAGAGAAAAAACATGATCTATGATCTGAATACTGTATTTAGATTGTTAAACACTTTGTGATTGGATTCCAGTTTGTGGTTTGGAAAAATACATTAACATTACACATTATAAATATATATTATACGGTCTGTATAAAATTGAATTTGACCTAGAATGGGATGGACAACTTCTTCCTTTATTTGTTAGGCACGGCCTTTTTCTTGTTTGATTAACTTACTCCTTTCTAAATAGGTTCTAAAAATATATTTCATAATGTATCAAATTTAACCTTTTCCTTAAAACTTATTCAACATGAAAAAGCATTCAGTGACTACTTTTTTTGTATGTCACTACTATATAAAATATGGCTTCTCATATTCTGGTTTGTTTTGTTAGTGTTTTCCTTAGGTATTGAAGGGAGGGCTGTCCCCATTTATAAAGCTATGGCAAAAGCACAGAAACCCGCTTGTGCATATTCTAGAACATTCTATAGAATCTCATTGCTTAGTATATCTCATTGCTTAACATAAGTGAAGTGATTTCTTTTAAAGTTTCTTTTATTTTCTCTGTGAATATATCATATATGATTATCATACATACATAATCTGTTACAGAATATACAATAGTCAAAACTGAAGACACATAAATACGATTACGCTATACCAAAGCAAGAATTTTATCTTATGTTATAGAGCCAAGAGGGTCGTTTTTAGATTGGACATTGCCATCCATTTTTGGTTTTGTTTGTTTTTTCCCTAAGGCTGGCTACGCAATAGAACCTTATGATCAATGGCGAGGGCGTGGGTGCTCTACAGCTGAAAGTGAACTGAATTTCTCTTGTGTCGCCTTTTAAAAGTGTGAAAGAAGAACAATAAGGAAGTGTGCCATTGTCCGACACCCGCAATCCCCCGGTGGGATGGAGGAGGGCAGGTACTGGGAGGGCTCGGCTGCGCTCAGACCAGCGTCTCGGGCAGGGCGTCGGGGTTGTCAGCGGACAGGAGCTCCCAGATCTGCCAGCGCTCTCTCTGCCAGTCGAGCCAGCCGGCGTCCCCCCGGCTCGGACTGTCCTGCTCGCCGACTGGCAGGGAGTAAGCGCTGCTCAGTTTTCTCTGCGCGGTCTGCCGCTCCCGCTCGGTCGCCAGGCTTTCCTGGTCAGCAGCTGTCCCTGCGCCTTCCCAGGCCGCCGTCGCGGGGGGCTTCCCGGGGCCTGGGTAGGGAGGAGGGGGCCGCTTGTCATCCCTCCCGCTCCCCCGAGGTCTCTGGCCCTGCAGCCAGGAGGCGTCCAGCTCGCTCTCGGCGAGGTCGTGGGCGCCGCTCAGGGTCAAGTACTCGGGCCTCCCGCCGCCACCCTGCACGTGGGGCGTGCTGCAGACTCGCGACACCGCGGGGTGGGCCCTGCCGTCCGTCGCGAGGGGCGCGGGGGCAGCAGGAACCGCAGGCTGAGTCCTCCGAGCCACCTGCGTGCCGCTGTCCAGCTCTGCGGGGCTCGCCTGCCACCGAGGCCAATTCGGGGACAGGTTCCCTTGAGAAAGGGAGCAGGGCCCCGGTCGTAGGGAGCTGCTTTCAAAAATGTCTCCATAGGAACCTGGAAACCAGGGAGAAAGGCAAGAACTGAAGTCAGTTTGTAGATCCCTTGGGGGATGAGTAGCGTGCTCTTTCCTTCCCACTGCCGACTTCAAAACGGGAAAAAGCACAGGACACTCTTAGCGACCGCTGTCCAAATAAAAGAACTTCATAGCAAAAGAAATGACAACTGCTTTTTAGTTTTAGGCTCAATTCTTGTGGTGGGTCCAAACACATATGCCTAGACTCTGACAGGTTAGCTGAGTTGTCAGATAAGAAGTGTGCCTTGTCACCAACTTATGTTTCAAAAAAGGACCCCTCTACATGGCTGGGACAACTTTTCAGAGCCCACAAGAGGAAAGAAGCATTTCTTTTCTGTTCAGTACAATCTGCAATCCAGGAGAGATACAGATTATAATGCTTTCATGTTTCTATCACATCAATGAAAGCCATGGGAATAAATGAATTGAATCGAAAGTACTCCATTCAATGTCCGAAGGAAATGAACAGGCAGCCACTGTGTATATTCTCCCACCATCACTACGGGAAAGACGGGCTTGTTGTTCACCCACTCAATCTTCTTTCTTTCCTGGATGACATTTTCCAGCCCCCCTTACAGTTAAGAGGGCCACACAAAGAAGGTCTGATCAACAGACGTAGACAGATGTGATGTGAGCCATTTCTAGGCCTGACCCAACCAAAACCCCAAATGATTGCCTTCCTACTGCTCCTTGCTTTGTCCTTTCCTTCAACTATCAGCCCAGCATGGAAAAACCATGGAAGACTCCGAGGCTTCTGAAGATGGTGGAGCCACCAGTTAGGTGGAGCCTAGGCTGGGCCCCTGAGTAACTATGTGGAAGAAAGCACTCTCTTCACTCAGCCACTCCCACCCCGCCTCGCCCAGCACAAACCACACTGGACTGTGGCATAAGGGAGAAATCCACTTGTAATAGGCTAAGCTCAAACATTTCAGGGTTGTTTGTTACAGCAGTTAGCTTTCCCTAACAGATACAACTTTCATTAGGAAATTGAAGGGATAGAAAACAAAACAAAACAAAAATAGTGCATTTCACAAGGCACACAAAGAGTTCTTGTGACATATGTCCCCAGACAGACATTCTCTGTGCATCTGCGCTACCTGCTTCTCACTTCTTAAAACGTATGCAGGGAAAAAGAATAAGGCCATGTTGGGGTGGGGAAGGGGAGATATGGGCATTTACACAGATAAAGCTGACAGCTGAAACAGGTAAAGGAAAATGGAGCAGAGCATCTTGGAAGGGTTTGTCCTCAGGAAAAGGCAGTGAGGCTCTTCATAAAATAAAATGAGATGCAGGTAGATAAGGAACCAATGCTGAAGTCAATTGGGAAGAAGCCATGACATTTAAAAATGCACCCATGCTTTTAAAACGTAATGTGGTAGTTACTACAAAACAATGAGAAGGGGACTATATATAATATAATATATATATTTGTTTGTTTTGTATATTTTATTTTGTTTTTTGTCATGGTCTCACTCTGTCACTTAGGGAGTACAGTGGCATAATCACAGCTCACCACAGCCTCGACCTTCTGGGCTCAGGCATTCCTTCCTCTTCAGCTTCCCCCATAGCTGGGATTACAGGTGTTCACCATCACACTCAGCTAATTTTGTGTTTTTTTGTACTGGTGAGGTCTCACTATGTTGTCCAGGCTGATCTCGAACTCTTGGGCTCAAGTAATCCTCTCGCCTCAGCCTCTCAAAGTTCAAGGATTATAGGCATGAGTCATCGTGCCCAGCGAGTCAACAAAACAAGTAATTTATGCACTTCACACCATACTTTTACATGTATTCCAGATGGGATTAAAAAAATTAAAGTTTGAAACAATGAAATAATATCAAAAAGAAAAGGTACAGATGACTGAGTACCCAAAGCCTAAAGATAAATTTTGTGACATAATTTTTTAAAAAGACAGTGATAAAATTAATTATGAAAATACAAGCACAAAAACTTCCAGATAGCCAAAGCAGGAAAAAGAAAGAAAAAAAATGCAAGGGAGACTATCAGTGGCAAACAATGTGGACAAAGAGTTAACATCTTTATTATATAAAGAGTTCATAAAAATGAATTTTAAAAATACTAGAATGAATTTTAAAAATACATTAACAGGTCAAGCACGGTGACTCAGCCTGTATCTCAGCACTTTGGGAGGCCGAGGCGAGAGGATTGCCTGTGCCTGGGGGTTCGAGACCAGCTGGGCAACTTGGTGAGATCTCATCTCTACAATAAATCACAAAAACTAGCTGGGCGTGGTGGCATGCATCTGTAGTTCCAGATGCTTGGAAGGCTGAGGAGGAAGAATCGCCTAAGTCCAGCAGGTCGAGGCTGTGGTGGCCGAGAGCGTGCCACTGCACTCTAGTCTGGGCGACGGAGTGAGATTCCAACTCAAAAAAACAAAAATACATTAACAGCAAATGATAGAAATGACAATGCAATGAGGAAGATTCAGCTCAGTAATAGAGACATTGAAAAGTACTGGTGAGAAAGAAATGAAAATTAAATTAATAAATGCAATTGTGTATTTTAAGTTAGTGACAATGAAACCCACGAATTTGCAATACTGGTGACATTTGCAGAAAACAGTGTGAAATGTCCTGCCATCCCCAGTTGACATAACCAAAGCTAGTGCATCCCACAAAGATCGGGGGGATGACTGGACCTCTGGATTCTTGGAAAGGTTCATAATATTTGACCTACTTTCCTCTTTGGGATTTATAACCTTTGACTTGCTTTCCAAAATGTTGTGAATATATTAATAATTTTAAAAATTTAAGTACACAAACAAGAGTCCTGAGAGTACAATTTATTGTGACAACCAGAAAAATTGAAACAACTTAGTTGCCCAAGCATTGGGTTGCAAACTATGAATATATTCCATAGTAAACTGTGGATATTCCTTGCTTTTAAAAAGGAATAATAGAAAATGGAAGTTAGAAATAATATAAAGTTGCACAGACAGAATGATTGTAACTATGTTGGAAAACTTTGGCCAAGGAAATGGGATGAACTATAGTCAAAGATTGGCATATTTGGGTGGAAAATCTAGGAATTGTTTTATTTTTCTTTCCTAGATTCAGTATTTCCCAAATAACATTTGACAAGCATGTCACTCACATAAGGATAGTAAGGCAAAAAACGGAAAGAACATTAATACAATAAAGTTTAAAGGCAATATTTTACCTGTCATTCCTGGGTCTTTGGAGCCACTTTTTAATGTTGAATGCCAAGTTCCCCAGATATTGAAAGGCTCCTCTGACATATCTAGAAAAAAGTGTATAAAAAGGTACATATCACAAAATGAAACTTTAAGGACAAAAAACAATATTTTCATAACATCTTTTCTTGAGAACTGTATTTGAGATTGTATTAGATACAAAACAGAATATAATCCAGACCTGGGTTTCAGGGGACTTATTCCATTTGATATTTACGAGAGACCCCTTCTGTATCATGGTTGTGGTAGACAGAATCCACAGATGTCTGTGTCATCATACCCATAACTTTAAAGTTGTTATTTCATATGCAAAAGGGACTTTGCAGCTGTGATTAAATTATGGTTCTTGAGATGGGGGGATTTTCCTGGATTATCTGCATGGGCCTGATATAATCACAAGGGTCCTTGTAAGATAGAGGAGAGTAGATACTGCTAGGTTGCTGACTACAAAGCTGAAAAAGGCAAGGAAACGAATTGTGCCCTAGAATCTCCAGAAGGGAAACCGGCCCTGTGGACCCATTTTAGATTTCTGACCTTCAGAGCCATAAGATAACAAATGTGTGTGTGGTTTGAAGCCATTAAGTTTGTGGCAATGTGTTACAGCAGCAATAGGAAACAAACAAAAGGTGATGGGCGACTATAGCCTTACAGGCACTAACCACATTCACACAGAACTGGAGGAACAATAATTACATTACTACCCTGAGGAATATTCTGCTATTGGTATCAACGGATTTCTTCATGCCTGTATTTGCTCATAAATCCCCTTAGCTTGTCCATCAATATTAATAGAGTAAGGAACTATATTAGGCTTTTCACCATTTCATGCAATCCTTACTATGATCCTGTGACAGGATCATAATTACGTTGAATAGTGGCAAACGTCTACTGGGTGCCTCCACGTGTTCAGCAGTTCACAAGCACGATTTCATTTCATCCCTGGGAGCTTCCCAGGAGATCATTTTACAGACAAGGCAACTAGCAGAAGAAACAGGTAAGAAATGCACACCAGATTACATAGCAAGAATTATCGAGTGCTTATTACATGCTATGCTGTGTTGAACGCTTTACATGGATTCCTTAATGAAGCCCAACGAAGTCAATGCTGTTATTCTTCTGAGTTTTTATAGCAGGAAGAAATGGGACTTGAGAAGCTCAATTGCTCGCTTGAGATCCTGCAGATCGACAGTAGAAGAGCAGGTTTTTGACTCCCAGTCTAGTGCTCTTGTCATTGGACACTAATACTGTTTGCTTCTGGCATGCTGTTTTGTTACAAAGTACGTTCAGCTTGTTTTTTTTTAAAAGAAAAGTAACAGCAGTAATTGGGCGACATCTTAGGCTAGCAAATATGCAATCCAAACCTACCAGCCAGGACCACATAACGTTCCTGGAATGCTGGAGGGAAAAAGAGTCAGCTGGGAATAAGAGTGGCTCTTCTGAGCATGTGCTCGCTTCTCAGATAGCTGAGAATTGGAGCGTGGGCTGCAGGGACCCTACCAGTCAACGACTGGGCTTGCCACACCTTCCTCTTCCCAGAGTAGGTATTCAGCAGGAACTCAGTAAATGCGCGTTGAATTACAAAAGCATCAAACAAGAGAGACGAAGAGAAGGTCCAGAGTGCTCCACGCCATGCCACGTGCAACAAGAGGAGGATCATTTGTTTTGGCCAGCGCTGGCTGGCCAGGCTCCAGTTACCTTTCCCAAGCCTTGGTCCAGGAGAACTTTCCCTTGACTTTGACGACGGCAAGTGGCCCACCAGCATATACTGCCCTGGCACTTTGTAAAGCTTCTCCGAGCCCCCCGGAGCCACGTCCTCTTGCATAGCCAGCAGGGAGCGTTCAGAAAGCACTGGGGAGTTGTTGTCATAAGGGGAGATGTCTCCGCTGGAGGCCTTGTTGGAGTCTGTAGATGAATGCCTCCCGCCCACGGAAAAGGAAACTTCCGACGGCATCATGTCAGGGCTTCTGGTACAACGAGACAAGTACAGGCGTGTGAGTACATTAACAAGTAGTGACCAGGTTCAAACAGTACGACCATTACACAAATGACAGGAGGAGAATGCATGGGCACAGGGGCTGAAACAGAAAGACCTTTCCAGCAATGATTCAAGACGTCGACATCCATGAGGTGAAAACGTTTCCACGTAACGGCCAGAAGGGGGCAGTAAAACCCAACAGATGTCACTGGACAAGCCAGCCAGGGAGCAGGAGGGGAGAGAATGAAACCGAGATGGAGCCCTGTATTCGCCAACATGCATGGCTCAAGTGCCTCAAGGGCGAAATCCTACTTCCGTTTTGAAATTAAAACCCGGTGCTCACTATTTATTAAGTTAGGAAACACTGGTAAATAACTCTTTCACCTTCCTTAATATCCTGAATCAAAAATAATTCGGATAAAACTATGGTTGATGCTGCTTGAAGTTCACAATGGTTTTATGGACCACTATTCTTGTTCCCCAAAATACTTAGTATAAGTACATCCATCCTTCCTGTGATGAAGATGATAATGCTACTGGTGGGAATAAGTGTTTTATGTATAAAACAGTGGCTAAAAAGTAAATATATGACCGTCACTAGAGTTCATTGTATCTAAACACACCTACAATGATTCTGCAAGGCAGTAGTGCTTTTACAAATGAATATGACATACTAATTAGCACACCATTGGCATATTCCTATGTGCATGAGTTGTCACAGCAACAGAAATAACAGTGAAAATGTAAGTGGGATGGGCAAATGAGAACTTCAGGAACATGAAGAGTGTGAGAATTCTTACCTGGAAACATCTTTATTTTCTACCTTCCTCAAAACAGTGGCCCTGACAACATCTTGAAGGGAAACAATCACAGGTTGATTAAAAGTTCCAGAACCCGCTTCTATCTCCCCACCCCTCTGACTTCGCTTTTCTTTACTAGTCTTTACTCTTTTTTGTTTTAATTTTTCAAAACAAATCCTTTGTGGTCTTAAAAAAGGTAAACACACGCCTGAGCAATCCTTTCCTAAGCAAATGGTTTTGTGCAAGCAAAATGGAGGATCTAGCTTGGACTCAGGTTTCCAGCAGGGACTATCCAGGGGGAAAATATCCCAGTATCTGTGACAGGCCCCACCCATCACTGATGCAGCCAGGGGCTCCTGTGCTTTTGCTGGGGACATTTTCTACCCACAAGGAATAAATAAGTCCTTTCCTTGCCTCCTCCTTGAACTGATATCAGATAATCTTATGGGCAGGAGCCAGAAGACTGCCATGAGGATAATTTTCCAGGCCTTTAGGCCACCAATGAGTTCGAAGAAAAAATAAGAGGAATTTACTATTTTTGCTGGAAAGGTGAGAGTGAGGATTATTTAGTCACCATATCTAGTTAAAGGGGATTATCTAATTCTAGCTGAGGGGAACACAAAAGAAAATAAAGAGATGTCTGTTGTCGTGGAGTATGACTGGTTGAGAAAAGTTTGTTATGAAAATGAGAAAAATCAGACGTCTTGAACTGGAAGCTACCATGGAGTTCAGCTCAGAATCAGGGTTCTATGTCCTGATTAGGTCTAGAGATCATAATTTTGGGCTAATTTCATTAATTTTCCCTGTTCAGTTGACATTTTCCTGGTCATTCATAAAAAATATCTTATGTCTACTCAGCAAAAATAAGTCATGGTTTTATTTTATGAGATGATTTAAAGAGAGTTAAGTTAAGTCATTAGGCAAACAAAACGACATCAGGACTACCAATGTTTTGTTTTGTGTTCTCCTCCTTGCCCATATTGGGAGGAAAGTTTTGGAAAGGTCATATTTAGCTCATGGAGACCCAAATAATTCTGTGTCATTTCTTGCTATTCTGTGTTTCAACATATACAGAAAAGAATACACTCAATAAAATATTATAAGTTGCAGATTTGGCCAGGAGTTAAGTGCATAAAGAAAGAGACCCATAAAAGACATTTCTTTTATGTCTTGGTACTAGGGACAATTAGGTTTCTACGGAGCAAGTAGGTTACCCTAGAGAACCTTGAGACATATAATAAATAATGTATCTCTGTCTCCAATGACTGCTAAGGGCCCCAGAAGAATCAAGGCTGCACTTGAGTTGGTGTATCAAAGCTTGGGGATGCATGTCTATATTTTGCCTCCCAATTTCGTTTCATTGCTCTTTTTGTTGTTTTCCTTTCTCCTACCTCTCAAATTTCTTACTATGATATTGTTTTGCTTTATGTATTTTTTCAAGCTGTCTCAAAAACTTGTTTTTGGACTGATGTATAGGCGAGAAATTATACCCATTAATTGTTGGGGGTGCTCAAAAGGCAGTATGCCCCATGAGAGCATTTATTAATAGTTTGGTGAAAGCTAAGCTAAATAAAATAAAGCCAATGATAACAATAACACAATTCGCTGAAGCTGCCACACTGCTTTTTTCCTCCATTTTCATAGCTCTGATTGGGATCTGATACAGTAGAGGTGAGAAAGGAGGCGTTAGAGGGCCATGGTCCCCTTTCTCTATTCCCTGGGTTGACTCTGCATCACCTGGGAGTTTGCAGAGAACATAAATTATCAAGCTCCATTCTGGACCTACTGATAGGATTAGCTGAATTATTTGTGGAGCCCAGAGCAAAATAAGCATGCAGTGCCTCATGTTAAAAAAAAAAATAGGAATTTCAGGATGGAAATAGCAAATCCTTAAACCAAACATGAGCTTCTTCTAAGTGTGAGGTCATAACCCAGGAAGTCAGCTCTGCTTACTGAAGGGGAAACTCGGGGTGGGGCCAGCAAACTCTTTTTTTTTTTTTTTTTTGAGTTGGAGTCTCACTGTCGCCCAGACTGGAGTGCAGTGGCCGCTCCCGGCCACCACAGCCTCGACTTGCTGGGCTCCGGCGATCCTTCTGCTCAGCCTTCCAAGTAGCCGGAATTACAGGCATACGCTACTGCGCCCGGCTAATTTTTGATTTATTGTAGAGATGAGGTCTCGCCAAGTTGCCCAGGCAGGTCTCGAACCTGCAGGCTCAGGCAATCCACTCACCTCAGCCTCCCAAAGGCGCAGGATTACAGGCTGAGCCACCGAGCCCGGCCAGCAAACTCTTAAAAGAAGCCCTCCAGGTGACTGACGTATAAGGATATCTGAGATCCTCTAATAACCAAACCTTCCTTTCCTCACTTGATCCGTAAATGTGACAGTGAGCAAAGAGTCTGCTAAGAGCCAAACAGGAGGGAAACTAAAGATGGTGGCCAAAGATGCAGTGTTGGCTGGCCTGGGGTGAACGTGGTAGTCCTGATCTTGAGGTGGTTGGGCCACAGCTAGGGGATGGTGTGCCCATTCCAGCCAATTTCCAGATCTCCTCTGTGTGCTGTGAGTAAGATCCAGACAACTGAATGTAGTATTTTCTGGTTGTGGATCAGAACACGTTGTGGTAAGAGCCTGACTTTCTCTGTTCTTCTGGTTGTCTCCTAATTAAGCTACCAAAGTCACCACAGCTGGGGCCCCAGTCAGGGAAGAGATGGGGGAAGTTGACTTAAGCTAATGCCTGGAGGTAGAGGCGGACAAGGTGTCTCACAGTGAACCTCCTCAGGGTGGCTGGGGTCACAGCCAGGGACCCAAATAGAGGGGACCATCCAATGAGAGATGATGTCTTCCTTTCGAAGTCCCTCAGTGCATCTCAGCTATGGGAGAAGATGCAGTATAAGTATATATGACAAGCAGCTTAAGAAACACACTTATGTGAAATACCCCCTTAGCCTGGGAATGTAGTGAAAGTGGATATTTATACAGAGATAATTATGTGGCAGGCATAATTGTACTCATTGTACTAAGCTACTGTTAACAACTCTTCTTGTTCTTGACCTCAGTCTGGAAATGAGTGAAAGAAACATGTGTTGTCTAAACAACTTGTCTTTCTAGCAGTAAAGGCAGCAAACATTGGAACCTTTCTAAAATTTATTTGGTAAATAGAATTTAACATTACTACAAATCAATAGTAAAATGCTATCTTTTATACTTAGAGTTGCTGGCCTTTTAAAATGTTTAAAATATTTTCCCATCATTTTGTTTTCTCAACAGAGATCAGAAGGCAGCAGCCAAATTTGCCTAAGAACCTACATCCAAGAATGGTCTTTCCTCAGGATTCTCACAACAACATAGGCAGTTCAGAGATTTTTTTTAATAGCAAAACTTTAGTGTTATTCTATTGAATCTGTCAGAAGTAAATCTGGAATCAATACATATACACGCATATATGCACATATACACAACACACATATATACACAACACACACAAATATATGCATACACATTTATACATATACATGCATATATACATACATAGACATATGCACACATAAGTATACACATATACATATTCACATAAACACATATGCACACAAATATACATGCATACACACATATATACACACAGGCAATACAAGTGGAAGTAAAGACAGAGCAGAGGGAGAGAATAGGATGACTGAGCAGAGTCTGGAGTCTGGAGAAATTTCAGGATACCTGGAAATAGAACTATGATTGTCTTTCAGAACACATCTGTCATCTAGTGGGGGCTGGATGACCAGTCACTGTGCATACCTTTGTCACATACCTATGCTTCCCATATCTGCTCATTTTCCACTTGTAAGTCTAGTCTATCCCAAAGTGTCTGAAACATTTCTAATTTTATGAAAATTACTGTTTCCAATAAAGGTAATTTGTCAAATGTATCAGTAAAACAGGTAAAAATCTATAAAGCTCTGTAAGATTTTTCATAGGAAAAAAATCACAAATCAGAAAACAAGTTCATATAATCCAGAAGTTCTGTGAGAGGACAGGGCGTAAATAAATCGAGGTATAGTGTAGTGAAAATGTGGATGGTAAAAGAAGAAATGAAAGGAAATTCTCTGAGCCTGAAACCTAAAGATAAAAATGAGAAGAGAAAGAAAACTACCCTTCAGGCTACAACTGTCAGAGAAGTGGTTGTCAGCCAGGATCAAGGTA